ACCACTGATTACAGAACCAGCTTTACTGATAAGATGCGCGTTAAATATCGCATGCGATTTATCGTGCAGCCCAAGTGTGCATAATGCTGAACCTCTATACATGAAGGAATTTGTGGGACACGTGCAGTGACGCTCATGCAGGTGACTCCTTCCATGCTTTAATTTTGTCTCAGTTACTGCTTATAAAATGGTAAAAAGGACAAAAATAAACAATAAAGGTGCATTTTCTTCAGCATGCAAAAACAGCTATGAATCTTCAGCTCATTCATGCAGGGGAAGCACAGGCATCAAAAACTCGATTTCTGAGTCAAAACCATCTAAACATCAACATCAGTAGCTTAAAAGGCAGACTGACCCAGGCAAACCCATTTAAAAACTTGAAAACATGAGGTAATATTTTCATTTCGTTATCGTATTTTCTTTATTTTGCTATGATCTTTGAACGGCACTGCAGAGACTCAAGGGTAATTTCTGAAACTCTTTCAACAAAACAATTCTTCAACACACTTATTCTTATTCTGCTAAGGATTACAATATCTTTCCCACAAGGGAATCTTCTCTGCTTCGACTTCCAAGGACAGACGTGCTCAAAGCACCTCGGATTTGTGGGACTGACATCAAAGGTCAGCTAAGTTGGAACACATTTGTTATCAGGTCCCTCTTTCTCTCCATCTGAACTGAGCTTACTGCATTCTGTGCAATTGTGTGTTGTGTTAAATCCATGTCTGTGTGCAGCTAAAATGTCTGCAGTTAGTTCATGTTGAAGAACATAAACAAAGAAGATGTGTCACAAAGCTCTAAATCTCATGCTCTTAAAAATAGATTTATTTTTACAGTACATATGAATCCTAAAGCGTATATGTTTAGTCCATGGTATTATTTTGCCTTTTTGGAAATGAACATGTTAGTGCCATGATATTTTTCAAGTACCCCAGAGAACCATGTACTATACAGTATATACCATGTGTTACATGAATATAGTATTTTTTCAGGACAATGGTATAAATTATGGTACCATCTGATACCATTCCCTCTACTAGCTACCAAACCAATTATAGTAATGAGCCTAAAGGGCAAAAAAAGAAAAAAGAAATTTAAAGGAAGAAAATTTTTATTTGTTTCAACTAATAGCAGCTGTGGAATACAGTCCTCTCTCATTAGAACAACCAAGTAGATGATGTCACAAATTTATTTTCTGGGCTGAATGGCTTAAGGCAAGAAACGCATTGCCAAAGGAAAGAAGAAAATGTAATTAATGGAATAGTTTAACCAAAAATAACATTTTTGTCATTATTCACTCTCATGAAGTCCCAAACCAGCATGCTGTTATTTTTTTTTTCTGTGGAATTTTTTGAGGTAACTTTATGCAGTTAACTGTTACCACATCTGTAAAGTGTAACACATCTGCTGACTCCCCACTGCTAAGCATGATTTTGTGACACTAATGAGCTAGTTGTTTTTAGTGAACAAAAAAAAAACAATCAGCTGGAGCGAATTAATGAATTAAGTGAGTTACCAAATTAATGACTCTTAATGAAGTAAGGAATTGCAACTTCACATTCGACTAAAAATAATGAAAGAAATGTTCAAGAAATTATCGATAATCAAGAGATGCTACTATGTGCTTAAAGCTTGTATGATCAACTGACCTGTTGTTCATATGATAACTACATGTAGTTTAAAATACACATCAAGTGTATTTTATGAAATTAAATGAGTGAATGCTAACGCTGTGGCTTTGAAGTTACATAGGGAAAGAATGGATTTTTTTTTGAATGGATGTCAATGGAGGAGAGGTTTCACGACGCTGAATAAACAGATTTTGTGAGGAAATAGCTTATCATTTAATGAATCAACAACCTGTTCGCTAATCTTCAACATGTTTTACACTAAACAATACTGTTGTTGAGAACTATATGTAGATTTTACCTTGATAAAAATGTTATTTATTAAGAGAAGGCAGAGTAGGGAATGTTGCGACAGGTAGGACTCGTTTATGGCATTATTACCAGCAAATTTGTGTCGCATAACTATTTAATAAAATATATGTAATATTGTGTATTGTCTAAAAATATCGATGTTTTCTTTCTGTGGTTTTCAGGTTTTACCTGAAATTAGACTTGAATTGTAATGACTATTATGTGACCATATGGCTTATGTTGAAATTATGCATTTTAATGAATAACGGACATGAATTATTTAAATGATTGTATTATATTGTATGTTGTTTAATGAAAATGAAATATGTTCTTTCTATGGCTTCCGAGTTTCAATAAATAGACTTGAAATGTAATGACTTGTGACTGCTGCTGCGTATGATGATATAGGCCTAACGGTTTTTAATGAATAAATGTAAAAAATAAATATTTTAATAAATAAAAGATATCCTTTCTATGGCTTCCAGATTTCAACCAAAAAATTACATTTTTAGTGACTAGTATCAGTTTTATGTATGCCCAATCATGCTGTTTTTTTTAAATGAACAGAATAAAACCTAATCTTAAATTGCAGTGACCAGTAAGTGACCAGCAATTCACGCTCTTTTATTACTATGCAATGTAAACTGTAACTGACCGTCGAAGAACTGTGAAAGCCGGCCATTGTCCTCACTGCCATTGTATGACTGGCTGAGGTACCTCACGTGATCCAAGTGATTAGCCATTACGCTTTTCTAATGGTACGTAATACAGACCCTCTTATCTCCCAATAAGAAGACAATCTCTGTTTCTAGTGAGTCTGAAGACCTTAATTTGTTTAATTGAGGTTGGAGCTAAACTGTGCTGGACACTGGCCCTCCAGTAACAGGTTTAGACACACACTCCTGACTTAAAGATACACTATGTAACTTTTGTTGCTCTCCCGGGTAATAAACAAAACTGCATGCGTCTTGTCTTGTGGAGGAACATTGTAGCCTTAGCTGCTTCTCTCAATTTATGTACGAGTCACACAGGTACTGGGCTACTCCACAGTGGTCTAAAATAGTCAGAATATAAACACTTGTTATAGGCATACCATGGTGATTCAGGACAAGACAAAAACACGTTTTGGAAGATGGATTCATGCTGTACTCAGTCTTATCATATAATTTCGTAAATTTTGAACAAAAAAAGTTACAGTGCACATTTAAAAATAACAGCAAGTAGGTTTGGAATGAGTGAGTAATGAGTGAGTAATGACAGATTCATCACTTTTAATTCCTCATGTTGGGCAAATACATTTCTAGGACCATCATTATCAACGTATCGAGGCCACATCAGAGAAAAAAATGTTTTAACCATGTAATATATCTAATAGTTTAGTAGAAATCTTGCTAGAATAGATTTCATTGATTGCAGTGTCTTCAAAGAGATTGGCCCAGGAATGGATTTTTCTCTTCAAGGCATAACCTGTGTGAACAGCAGACAATTTAGCTTCCCTCTCTGAGGAGTGAGTGGAGGGAAGAGCGCTTAGACAGTAATGCAGGTAGCATGCCCACAGGAGCATCTTAATTAGAGGAGGGAGAGAAAGAGAAAGAGAGAGAGAGAGACTGTATGCTGTGGGGAGTCTGAATCACTACTGCAAAGGAACAACTCTTCTAGTCTGAGGTGGCAAGGTCAGGCCGACCTGAAACATCTGTAGAAAGTGTAGAATGTGTCTTAACAACCTCAGCTAAATAAGTTGTGTGGATGAAGGAACATGTTTAAAATGTGTATACCTATGTCACTTAAATTGGACTGCCCTGTTAAATGCAGACAAGGCTGTCTCTGCTAGAAAAGTCATGTTGGAGCTGTGGCATAGGGGTTAATGTTGAGCTATGGTGGTCACATAGGAGATGTACGTTTAAATATTTAGCCTGTTTTATGTGTTGATATACCATTCCTGCCCTCTTGATAATGTCTCTATAAAAGAAAATTATTAAAAAGCAAAGCTTTAGAAGGGCAAAAACCCTCAAAATATCCATTATTAATGCACTTTTACTCACAGCTTCAAGTCATCAGATCTAATTGTCATCCACTGCCAAAGTCAACTGCTCTCTAATGATGATAACAACCCCTCACTAGCAGTTGGTAACCTTCACACACCCTTCAAAAGCTGTCTTTTATGTTGCTTTGTCTTTTTGCAGTTCAACACTTGGCGAGACACTTCAAATATCCAATTGTCAACTTTCAGCAGCTGCCTATCTCTCACACTCCATCATACTAAATGTGAAGGAAACTTATTAGGCTACTTGAACATAGGTCAGGGGTAGGCAAGTTCGGTCCTAGAGAGCCGCAGTCCTGCAGAGTTCAGTTCCAACTCTAATCAGACACACCTGAACAAGCTAATCAATGTCTTTGGGATTACTAAGGCTATAGGCAGGTGAGTTTTTTTTTCAGGGTTGGAGCTGAACTCTGCAGGACTGCGGCTCTCTAGGACCGAACTTGCCTACCCCTGACATAGGTCATTGAACACAGCGGTTTTTGACAATTACTCTGTTAAGGTTTTCACTGTCTAAGACCTTATTCAAGGTAAATTATGTTTATCAAAAAAATTATTAGTTGTC